GTAGGGGGAGCTGAACCCTTATCCTTGATGTTATATACTGCACTATAACCAACTGATCTAACCAGCTAGGGTGATTCTCTTATATTTTCCAGGTAGACAATCATTGTCTGTAAATAAGGACAATTTTGTTTCGTCCTTTCCAAGTCTTCCTTATCTTGGCATCAGCTAGCACTTTCAGTTTATTACATTGTTAGATAGAACTAATGGTAGTGGGGGTTTTTGTCTTGCTTTGATTTCAGGGGGATGCTTCTAAAGTTAAGGCATAGAGTTTGGTATTTGGAAGATAATCTTTATCTGGTTAAGGAAGTTCTCTTTTAGCCCCATTATGCAAAGACTTCATTGGGAATGAGTGTTGATTTTAATGACTCCCCTTTCTGTATTTAATGAGATCCTCACGTGACTTTCTCCTGTCCTTTGTTCATGGTGATAGACTTTTTTTTTTACTTTTTATGTTGAGTGTAAGATTTTCTTTTCATAGGCTAGTGGACATTTGTATTTCTTTTCTGAATTGACTGTTGATAGGCTTTATAGATTTATTTCCTATTGAATTGTTATCATTTTGGGGGTACTTCTTACCTGTTGTGATAATTAACCCTTTATTATATATTTTCCCCCAAGTTTCTTTTATTCTTTCCCTTTATGACTTGTTTTGTGTCATGCTTAATAATCCCCTATGCTAAACTATGAAATTATTTGCTGTAATTTTTATAGTTAACAGCCTTTTCAAAATTATTTTATCTATTGTTTTACATAGTATGAGATTAGAACCTTGTTTTCTTTTTATACGTGTAGACATCTGCCCTTAGTGAATAAGGCCTTCTTTGTCACTGAATCGAAGTATCATTTTTCCCACAAGTATTCATATATGCCTGGGTTCAGATGTTATAGTGCTGTGCCAAAATCATGTTGTTTTAATTACTCTTGATTTATATTCGGGCAGGTCTCTGAGGCAGGGACTTAAAAACCTCAGGCTTCAATCAACAGCCTGTGTTCAAATCCTAGTTCTGCCACTTCTCAAACTTTGTGGCCTTGCACAGGCTCGTCACTTTGCCTCTCGAGGGCTAGGTTTCTTTTCCTGGAAAATGCTGGTGATAGTAGTGCCTACCTCACAGACTGTAAGGAGCTTTATGCAATTCCTGACACTAAACTCTTATTAATTGTGAGCTATTATTGTTGTTTTTGGGGGTAATGCTGCTGCTGCTTTTTTAAAAATCAGAACTTGTATGTACATTTCTTTCTCTGCTCCCCTTGGTGACTCCTCCCCTGAAAAGACAGTGACTAATATGTGAGATGCTGTCTCTGAGTGACACATGGACATGTGCACGTGGAGCCTGTGTTTTGGCCTGTTCTCTTCCCCCCCCCCCCCCCCCCCAGGTGTGAATTCTCCTTCCTGCCTGGCTTGTGGTGAACTCACCAAGGGTCCACTTCCCCACATGTTCTGCCAGGACCTCCAAAGCGTAGAAAGTCCACTGTGTCTCTAGATCCAAGTGGAGTTCTTTAAATTTTTTCTGTTAACAAGTATTAACTGTATTGTAATTCCCACCCAACTCCTATGTATGTTTCTCAGTTGGATTATAACATACCTCTCTCTGTTTTATGATTAATTATCCCCAAATATCTATAGCTGCTCTGCAGCAAAATGTTTTTCATTTATCTAACAAATATTTATTAAAGGAAGAGATTGCCAACTGGAGGCCCAAAAGCCAAATCAGATCTGCAGACAAATTAGGCCCAAGGATGAAAACATCAACATTTTTAAATCATGAGATTTTGTTTCCTTCTACAGTATGTTAGTCAAAGAAGCAGGAGCAGTGATATTGTGTGACAGGAATATGTGGGTAAGATTCATTACTCTACTTCAGTGTTCAGTTTTTGACAACAAGAGCATCAAAGAGAGGATGCCTGGGCTTACAATAGGATCATATGGTTAATTGTGGACCTTTCAGCAAGATTTTGTAAAGACCCCAGTTTCTAGCTCTAGGTCCCTCGACCTAGCACTCTAGTCTCTATAGTAGTTCAGTGGAATACACTCTAACAATAGCATGTCGACATATGTAGAGATAATTGGACATCAAGAATCAGTGATTCCCCCCCCACCTCCCCAGTAATATATAAATATTCCTTAGGGAATTGAACATCAAGTTTGGACTTGGAGGGAGCAATCTCTTCCTACTTCCATCTAGCTACTAGTTTTAACTGGCGTTTTTTAAAAAAGAAACTGGAATTTTAAGAGATGGGTAGAAACCAAAAGAAATTACTAACTAGTCTCTTATTTAATGTGTGCAAAGGATATTCTCCAGCTCGCCTCAGGCTGTGCATGCAGCATGCTTCCTATCTTGATGAAGAGTTAGCTTTGGAAAAATACTGTTAGCCTGTGAGTTTACTTTTCAAGAGCTTTTTTTTTTTTTTGGCAGGTACAGGGATTGAGCCCTGGACCTTGGTGTTATCAGCACCAGGCTCTAACCACCTGAGCTAACCTGCCAGCCCAAGCCCAAGCTTCCTAATTTTGAGTAGGTCATATAGAATCCAAAAGCTATGAAAAGGCATAAATCTCTTGCCCTTCCCTATGTCCAGACACCCAGTTTCCTTCCATAAAGGTCAGGCACTGCTACCAGTTGCTTGTATCTCCTTCTAGAGATTGGCAATGGAAGATTTCATATACAATCATACACATAGGTATATGAGCTTTAAATACACACATACAGTGGTAGTGCTTATTAGCAGTCTATCTTGGCTTTCTTTTTAGTTTTCAGTGTTCAATCTTGAAAATCTCTGCTAAATTGCCCTGCTGCTGCCCTTTGTGGAGGTTGTCCCAGTTTACACTCCTACCCAGGGCCGTGTATGTGGGTGCCCTTCTCCCTTAATCTCCCCAGTTCCGGGCCTTGTCCAGCTCCTCTGAGTTCTAACAGCTTGAGGAAAAAACAGCACCTCTTAGTTCACATTTGCATTTCTGTTATCTTTGCAATAACTTAAAATCGAAGTTGGGCATCTTCTTGACATGAATTTAAGATATTTTTTCCGGTTTATCCTTTTTCCCCCCCAGTTTCTCTTTACTTGGTTTAAACGGCCATGAAGACCGTTTAAAACATGAAGGTGTATCACTATAGCAGTGGGTTCTCTTAGGCGTTTATGTTTTGTGTAATTTAGACAAGCCTTCCCCACTTGGAGAGTGCACCTTTGCAATAACTTAAAATCGAAGTTGGGCATCTTCTTGACATGAATTTAAAATATTTTTTCCGGTTTATCCTTTTCCCCCCCAGTTTCTCTTTACTTGGTTTAAACGGCCATGAAGACCGTTTAAAACATGAAGGTGTATCACTATAGCAGTCGGTTCTCTTAGGCGTTTATGTTTTGTGTAATTTAGACAAGCCTTCCCCACTTGGAGAGTGCAGAAGAGGAATGCATGCTATTTGTATATATTTAGAGTCTTTGACTCACCTGGAATTTTAGAAGAAGGTTAGGGGGTACGCAGGTCCACTTCTGAGGCAGAAATGTGTATATCATGGTGTTAATGTGATGTACTGAAATTATAAGTGTGACTCTCGGCAAAGGCTTGTTGCTGTACTGCCTCTCCGTTTTGAGAAGGCCACCGGAAAGTTTTCAGATTATTAAAGTAATGCCTTTTCTGTAGGAAACTTGGAAAAATACAGGAGGGAGTGGAGACGAGCCCAATCCCAGCAGCACGTCGCATGTAAAAACCTGGGCTCAGGCTCACACTGTGTCAGTGTTTTCACTTGAGATTAAAGTCTGAACAGAGGCTTGAAAAATACTGTAAACGGTGGCCTAGGAAAGTGGCCTAGGAAGGCGTCAGACGTTCTGTCTTCAAACCTTCGCGGCAGCTCTGGGCAGCGCGGCCTGAGCCGGGCACGTGCGGGCGGGCGGCCCAGGGTGCAGGGGCTGGGTTGGGGCTGCGGGGGCCGGGCTCGGGGGCTCAGCGGTGT